GCAATTTTGTTACATGTTTGACTACTAACAAAATGTGCAAATACAAAAGTAAACATCTTAAGTTATGTGCACAGGGAAAATGGACATTTTTTTACACAAAAAATATGTGCATAACCTTCACACCACAATGCACAACTCTTTTTTAGCTTTTCTTCTTCAAACATCTTGAGTGATTTGCATGTTATGGATTTTCTCTCGCATGCGGGAGGGAGGTCATTGTTAGGGCACACAAGAGGTCATAAAAACGGAAAATTGAAGAAAGAGGAAATAGTTGGCGTTTCGTGTGACAGTGTCGTCGAAGGACGACTATTTGTCCGGTAGGGACGACCACCGGCCGATCAAGGGGTCGAGGCAAAGACATAGTGAGTTTGCCGATATTCATGCTCTTCAGGGAGGAGGTAAGGCCCTACTCCTGCCTTATTGTGAAGGTAGACGAAGATCTATGGGATCACCGGCGAGATCTATTCTGGAGATTACAACCCACTCCTCCCGGCGACAGAGTGTAAAGTTCGTCAAAGAGGGTCTGCCTAGGGTTTCTTACTTAACACTGTGGAGGGTCCCTAGAGTTGGGAAACATAGTAGAAAACAAAAAATGCCCTACATATCAAGTTACATGGGTCACTATGAAGATACAAACGAGATTAATTTGTATCATCACCAACTCCCATTTTGCAGCACAAGAAAAGTTGGTGAAGTCATTCATGCAGATTCTCGTAGCTATGATTTACAACCTCTGAACTGCGAGTTTTTTCTCCCTTGAACCAAGATTGAAAGCACGATCTCTCCACCGGGTTGCACCGTACGGAGTCAGCGATCCGGCATGCTTCGCCGTCTAGAATTAATGGTCGTCGGAGAACTATAGAGGGTGGAGCAGCCTTGCGACTATAGGAACTAGTTTCATGGAGAATGAGAGATAGGGGGCAGCCCTTGCGCAAGAGCTGGCCCCCTCTATATATAGGGGGGGAGGGAGAAGACTTGGAGGAGGATCTCCCTCCCCTTAGGAGTGGCGCACCAAGGGCTGGGCCCTACCCCAACCCTAGCCACACCCCCTTGACTTGGGTGCCAAGGCTAGGGGTGGCGCCCATCTCACGGGCCCCAAAGGCCCATTCGGTTGGCCACCCTATAGGCCTTTCCTATAGGGATGGCCCACAACTCCTTATACTTCCATGCTTATGTAAATATTTATCTGTGCACGCATTTGTCCGGCAAGCTGCGCTTGTAACTTGTGCTCCATGTCAAACCACCCAAAGACAGGAGTAGGGTTTTACACCCCCACGGCGGCCCAAACCTGAGAAAGCCTTGCGCATGTACTCTTGGATTTGCTCTCCGTGCTCGTCGATCTCCCAAGCAGAACTAAAGGGATCCTCACCGGCCCCATAGATTGTCGTACTCTGGCAATCACGATGAATGAAGGAATAAGGAGCAGCAAGACCCTAAGATTGGGGATTCCCAAGGCACCCCAAGGTAATATTCAAGGGAGACCCAAGTGTCTAAGCTTGGGGATGCCCCGGATGGCATCCCCTCTTTCATCTACAATTCATCGGTATGTTACTTGGAGCTATATTTTTTCATCACATGATATGAGTTTTACTTGGAGCGTCTTGTCCAATTCTTTATTTTGCTTAATTGTTAGTTTGCCATGACCATTGTTTGTTGGACACACATTTTGAGAGAGACACACATTCATCATAATTTATTAGAATACTCTCTAAGCTTCACTTATATCTTTGATCTATGCAGTTGCTCTATTGCTTCACTTATATTTGTTAGAGCACGATGGTGGTTATATTTTATAGAAATGATTGCACTCTCATGATTCACTTAAATCTTTTTGAGAGTCTACTAAATAGGAGGTGATAATGAGCATGGGTTATAAGAATAGTCCAAAAAGGATAGGTATTTATGAGTGGTATGATAAAAACATTCATGTAGATCACTAAATATGAAACATATTTTAAATATATTGACGTCGTAATATGAAAGGGTATTGGTTCATGATCATTGGTTAGTAGAAATATCAATATTAAAGCTTGTTATTAACAACGCATTTAACTGTCTGACATGGCATGGTGGGGAGGTTTGAGCTTTTTTGTATCTAATTGAAATCCTTGAGTGTTGTCTAAGTCGACGATGCGGGATGGTTAACTCCTACTGTAACGCCCACGATGCGGCTGTATCTCCCACGTGTCAAAGCACGACTTAGAGGCATAACCGCATTGTAAGCAATGTTGCAAGTGGGGTAATCTTCACACAACCCATGTACTGAATAAAGGAAAGAGATACATAGTTGGCTTACAATCGCCACGTCACACAATGCATAAATAACATTACATTCATCTAGATACAATCAAGGTCCGACTACGGAACCAAAATAAAGATAACCCCAAATGCAACAAAGATCCCCGATCGCCCCGACTGGGCTCCACTACTGATCAACTGGAAACGAAACAACACAACGAACATGATCTTCATCGAGCTCCCACTTGAGCTCAGCTGCGTCGTCTGCACTGATATTATCGGCACCTGCAAGCTGGTTTTGGAAGTAATCTGTGAGTCACGGGGACTCAACAATCTCACACCCTCGCGATCAAGACTATTTAAGCTTATGGGTAGGTAAAAGGTATGAGGTGGAGCTGCAGCAAGCACTAGCATATATGCTGGCTAACTTACGCAAATGAGAGCAAGAAGAGAAGCAAAGCACGGCCGTGAACTAGGAGTGATCAAGAAGTGATCCTGAAACTACTTACGTTCAAGCATAACAAAAAACCGTGTTCACTTCCCGGACTCAGCCGAGAAGAGACCATCACGGCTACACACGTAGTTGATGCATTTTAATTAAATTACGTGTCAATTTCTCTACAACCGGACATTGACAAATTCCCATCTGCCCATAACCGCGGGCACGGCTTTCGAAAGTTCAAAACCCTGCAGGGTCCCAACTTAGCCCATCACAAGCTCTCACGGTCAACGAAGGATATTCCTTCTCCCAAGACAACCCGATCAGACTCGGAATCCCGGTTACAAGACATCTCGACAATGGTAAAACTAAACCAGCAAAGCCACCCGAATGTGCCGACAAATCCTGATAGGAGATGCACATATCTCATTCTCAGGGCACACTTAGATGAGACATCCTATGAGTAAAACCAACCCTCAAGTTGCCCTGAGGTGGCCCCGTAGTCTACTCGGTTCGGACCAACACTCAGAGGAGTACTCGACCAGGGGGGTTTAAAATAAAGATGACCCTTGAGTTTGCAGAACCCAAGGGAAAAGGCTTAGGTGGCAAATGGTAAAACCAAGGTTGGGCCTTGCTGGAGGAGTTTTATTCAATGCGAACTGTC